TCTTCCAAAATGAATGTGGCTATGATGATTACAAACATACACAATTTTGTAAAAGAGAAAGAAAACAGTACATGTGAAAATTTGAAAGTTCAGATTTCATGAAAATAATCAAATACTTCCATTTAATACAATGGATTTTGTGTATAGAAGAAGACATGTAAAATTCATTTTTATGTCAGACATTTGTCTTCCACTGGGATATTTTCTATCTTCCAAACACGTGTACATCTTCCAGTCTGCTCCACTAATCCTCAGGTCTCTTTTCTGCCAATACCATACTGATTTTATCACTGTAGCTTTGTAGTATAATTTCAAGTCATGGATTTTGATGCCACCTGACTTGTCTTTGTTGCCCCAGATTGTTTTTGCTATTCTTGGTCTCTTCTGGTTCCAGATGAATTTTAGGAACATTTTCTCAGATCTGTGAGGTATACTAATGGTGTTCTAATTGAGATTGCATTGAACCTGTATAACAATTTTGGGAATATGGCCATTTACAAAATATTGGTTCTTCCTATCCATGAGCAAGGAATATCTTTCCATTTTCTCAAATCCTCTTTGATCTCTTTTTTCAGAGTACTGTAGTTCTCACTGTATAGATCTTTTACTTCTTTTGTTAGATTGATTTCTAAGTATTTCCATTTTGGATGCTATTATGAAAGGTGTGGTTTCCTTCATTTCTCTCTCAGTGTGTTTATTGTTTGTGTAAGGAATATTATTGATTTCTGAGTGCTGACTTTGTAGGCAGCTATACAACTGAGTTTGTTGAATCACCATGGAGATCAGTTTGGAGATTCCTCAGTAAACTAGGATTACAGGTCGCATTCAACACAGCTATTTCCCTTTTGAGTATTTTCCCAGAAGAACTAAAAACATCATATCACAGCTATGCATGTGCACCCATGTTTATAGCAGCACAATTTGTAAGAGCTAAATCATGGAAGAAACACAAATTCCCATCAACTGAGGAATGGATAAAAAGTTGTAATATTTTTATGTAATGAAATATTACTCAGCTACAAAGGAAGATAAACTCGAGGCTTTTATACGTAAATGGATATAACTAGAGACCATACTCATAAGTCAAAAAAATCAGACCCGCATGTGTAAACACTGTATTGTCTCACTAGTATAAGAACATAAAAGAGTAAATAAAATCTAAAAGGTACAATAGATATTGCAAAAGGGAAGGAAACTGTTCAAAAGGAAAGAACAACTGGTATGGGGGAAAAGGGAAAAGAAGGGGAAAATATGTATAAGCACACACAGGATAGCTAAGATAATGTATTACTGATTTCTATTGCTTTATTGAAAGGAACAGTTAATGTCTAATTGTTTGATCAATTTTGCATGCCTATATTTGTTTATCTGAGTAACAGATCTGAAGATAACAATATGTAATACCACAATCATTGTTAATTTCTTATCACCTTGTCTGAAATTCTGTATTGCTTTTATTATTTTTGTGTTGTTTTATAAATGTCTGTGTATTTGTTAATGTTTTCATTCTTTTATCTTTAAAATAAAAAAAAAGAAATAAGCACTCCACCTTTCAAAAATAAAAAAATATGTGTACACAGCCTTAAAGTTGACTAAGAGTGTGGGAATTTCGTGGGTCTTCTTTAGTCTCTGATACCTATGTATGAAGACTGAGTCAAGAATATATATTTCCTCCATCATGACTGCAACCTCAGGTCATCCTTATCATTCTGGGTAAAGATCTTCACTTCTATCACATATACCTCTTGGTAGAGTGGTCTGTCTTCTACTCAAACAAAGGTACACCCTGTAGTGTCTGTGCCCTGTCTGGTGCTCTTACCCTCCCCTGCAAAACCTCCATACTATGTAACTGAGGCAGGAGGTTACATGGGGGTGTCCCTCCATAAGAACACCATAGACTTATCCAGAATTCAGTAGTATTGTTTGTCTGTTTGCTCTTGTCATGAACCTTTCACAGATTGGCATAGGCTGTTAGTAAACATTCAGAGTGTGAAATGGTTGTCTTCGTCAAATTTGTCTAGCATTAAACCTGGTATTGGGGAAGGTGATTTGCTGACTTTCTCATTCAGCCACAGCCTAAAGTTCCACCTCTTAGGGGAATTTCATGTAGATTTCCAAACCAGAAAAGAATAGTTAAAAGATAGTGACAAATTTTTCTTTTGACTATAATTACTAAATTGCTAAAGAAAATATTGCTATCCAGATCTAACAATGTATTAAAAGTGTATTATGATTAAGTATTATATAGCCTAAGAAAACAATGAAGATTTAACTTAGGAAATCTATCCAGAAATTATAATGGACAGAAAGAAATAAATGAGAGTATTTTAATCATTTCAGAGATAGCATTTCATGATGATAATGAATTTTTAGCAGGCAAAAAATTTGCATTCTGAAACCTGCTAAAATTTGTAAATGAGAATCCCTCTGATAAACATGCAGAATGCAGGAACTTTAGAAGTATTCTCTATAATTAAGGACAGAGATGGACGTTTGGTGTTCATTATTATCACTAGTTTTTACTTTTTCATGCAAGAACCTTGACAGTGATATAAAGAAAGAAAAATAAGCAATACTAAGATTGAACAAAAATATAAAACTCCTACTTTATACAGATAGTGTTAATATTGCCAAAAAATAAACAATACAATCAAAGAGCCACAGAACATACCACAAACTGCCTAAATCCAATCTGCAGAAGCAATAGAATTTGTCTACACCAAAACTAGCCAGGGAGAAATGTTATCAAAAACAAAATTCTACTCAAAATAGCAATAAAATTATATATTTTCTAAGCACTAACCAAATTTTTTAAAAAAATATGTGTGGAGAATATTTTATAAATTTCATAAAACATATACAATTATAAGAGTTAATGGTAAGTTATTATCTGCTTTTCAGTTAGGTAAGTTATTATTACAAAAAGTAAATATTATCAAAATTGATTTATGAAGACATTGTATCTCTAATCATGTTGGGACTTCCAAGTTCAAGTTGAATTTTTATAAACTCAGTAACTTTTTATTTTTAACATATATATAAAAGCTATATATATTATATATGTTAATCAATTTCTAGTTTCATGAGCTAAGAAAAAAGACTTCAATATTAAATCCAAGAACTAATCCAAAAAAAAGAGAAAACTCAGAAATATACATATGAACTCAAAAAAATAATACCTTGCAAAGCTGGAGACCTAAATCATGAGAAATATTAAATGAATAAATTCAATTAAAAGCCAAAAATTTCCCTCTGGATCAAAGATATTAGAAAGCTAAAACTATGAATTACTGGACTGGGGTAGTAGAGATAAAAATGGTCAAAAGTAGTCCAATTTGGGGCATGCTGTGAAGCCAAGAGCTAGAACATTTGTTGATGAAGTGAACAGCAGAGTTTAGAAGTGAAAGGATGACATACTAATGAGAAGAGGTCGATAATGAAAGGAAGGGAAAGAAGTTGTCCAGAGGAGGAATATTCTTGAACAGGTAGAGGACCATAGTGAGTAGCTGGGTTGTTTTTGATGGGAGCGATCTAAGCAGAGAAAGTAGGTACATTGTTCTTTTTTATGGTGAAGAGAAAAATACCACCAGCAAAGATTTAACGCAATTACATGAACCCATTCACCCTTTGACAGAAATTATAGTGTTCGTTTTGCTTTGTTTTTTAATCTAAGAGATGGAAAGCAGAGGGTACTGGATCTTGCAGAATGACCCTGTCTCTAAATATGACAAAGAAAAGCAGATTTTAAAGTTTTAAACAGTTTTTTCTGTCACCAATAGATTGCCCCTTTTTTTGTTACAGGTAGAGGATTTGCAGATATTGAGCAACTGAATAGTGATTGTGTTACTGTTTTAAAAGTGAGACTCACTGAAAACCAGAACAAGAATTTAGTCAGCCATGCTTAGTGGAAGCTGAGGTTCTTGGATATTCTTGAGTAATACCACCAGGAATGATGTTAGCTTGGTTAGATCAAGGATGTTATGAGTAATTCGGGTATATGCCCTGACTGATTACTTTAATTGTGTCGGTGCCAGGGGTAAAGGAAGAGAAAGATGAAATTAGAGAAGATGCCACATAGGACACCTGGAGGTGATGTCAGTAGTTGATGATAGCATCCACTTTTTCAAGTACTTTAGAGGTATTTTAGGCCAAGAGTTTCTAATAATGTGGGGTCACATTTTTAATTTTATTTCTATATTTTCACATACATAAAAATTTGTATAAATAAAAAGTAGATCTATGAAGTAAAAATTTGTCTGGTGTTCTAACTTTTTGCAGTTTCTTTTTCTCCTGCTTCTGTGCTATTTAATTTTTAAACCACTGAACACTTCTCAAGCAAAATATGAGCCTGAGTCTCAACATGTAGAACAGATATAAATAAACAACTAAAACTGAAGTACATGAACCTTCCAGATTTTAGAAAAGACATGGAACCAAAAGAAGAAAAGAGAAAGAAGAGAGAATGAGTTGAATGATTGCCAACATCTTTATCACTGGATGATTTTTTAAATTTAGTTTCTCACTGAGCACACAATACATAGAGAGAGACAGAGACAGAGACAGACAGAGAGAGAGACAGAGACAGACAGAGAGGGAGAGAGACAGAGACAGAGACAGAGAGAGAGAGAGTGACCCAGAGATACACACTGTCCAAGTTCCATAGGCAGTAACCATTCTGAGATTTGATCTAGTTCATCTGTTCCAGGAAGGTACTTACTAGAGTTAGACAGGGCGGAAGGCATGAGAAATGGCCCTAGCTTACTCCACCTCTTAGCATCTGTCAGTGCCCAAAATATTTTCAGAAAGTTGGGTCATGGGTTGGGCTAATGGACAAGATGTACCAGATATTTAGCCCACCCCTGGACTAAGCCACATTCCCTCCCTTCTAAGTAGCTCACTTCACAACAGGTACAACCTAGTAATTAGGAAATAAACAGATAGCTCTACATAGAGTCAGACAGCATCCTGAAAGCAAACAGGACAGGGTGATTTCATCTCACCTTTGCTTGGGCAGTATCTCTAGTGACTCTTGCTAAATGCACGGCCCTTTCCTGGGATTTTGCTGCATTTTCCCTGCAAGAAAACAAGGAATCACACCATTTAGATATTGCTTGCCAACTATCCAGAAGAAGAACTTCATGGTAAAGTTCTTATTGGTTTTTATTGGTCTCCTCAGCTCAGTCTACCATGTCTAAAGTAGAGATATGCTCTGGAAGGGAAAAATAGCACAAATATCACTCCGTGCTAGAAATACCCTCAAGTTCTGACTATTATAGGCAATAGTCTTAGCTTTTAACTATGTAAGTGACTGCCTCCTTACATATTTCCAACAACTCGATGATCAACAAATTTAAAAATTGTGCCACTGCTTGAAGACAATGTTTGAATGACTGTACTTACACTGAATCAAATAGCTATGTAACTGCCTATATTGGTCCTGATTCCAGCCACTAGTGCCCCACAGAGAAAATCAACCCATTCTTTTAGTAATGTGCAGATAACTTTTACATATTTCACTCTCTATCCAGTTTAAGACAACAAATTTATTCCAATATATTTTTCATAGGTACTAAAAATAATTATTGAATGAGTAACTTCAAAGTGGTAAACCATCTTGTAAGTCTTAAGGTATTTTATTTTTGTTTAAATTATTTTTCAATAAATTCATTCAAAAATTTGGCCACACATGAAGATACTCTGTGCAATGAAAAGGAAATTTTGCAGTCAATGCTACACCTGCTGGTTTACATTTAGTTTTCAGGAGAATGAGAAAGGACTTTTCAACCTGCCTGGCCTCCTGAGCCCTGCCTGTCTTCCTTCATGTTCCCACATTCTCATCACTGGAAAGCAGCATATCATCACAACTTCATACCCTAATACTATTAGATATGTCAAATGAAATCCCTCAAAGAATACAAACGTGGCATTTTAAAAAGTCAATTATAACATATCTTAAGCTGATAGGCTCAGGATTGGACTGGTACCTGTGCTGAAATTTTAATGGTGATCTGAATTGAAGATGAATTCCCAGTTCACAAATTAGGGATGCTAAGATTGAGCTCAGTGGTGGTGTCTGCTTAGCACACAAAAGGCCCTGGCTTCAATGTCCAGCACCACAGAAAAGAACAACAACAATAACATCTTCTCATAGATAATCTTTAAAAACGAAAACCAAGTTAGGACACTCTGGTTTGAGTATTTATAATTGATAACTCAAGTGTTCTACCTTTGGAATACCACTGAAAGAAGATCAAGTAAAAAACATTAGATAGATGTTAAAGCATTGAGTAGTACATAGTAAACTTTAGGATGCTAACTCTATCTAAGGTGCAGAAACCTGGAAGTTGTGAGCAAACTTTAGTACATCTCATTCTCCAATACTCTGAGATGTCTGAAGATACTAACAGGTCACAGAATCAGTATAAATTCCGCTTAAATACTTTGACCAATTGACCACCTCAAGAAGATTCTATTATCCTTCTCAAGGGGATTTTTTTCAGCCCCTCAGCTACAACAAAATAAGGTCTTAACTTAGCCTGAGGGATCTGACATTCTCCCTTAAATTATTTTTTTCAAGACAGTTTAAAGTAGAACAACATCCTTGAAAGACTGTAGACAGCTATGTAAAATATTAATTGTGGCTACTTTGAAATGCCTTTGGAATCTCATTTAAAGGATTACTATGATTATACTAGATGTCACTTTGCTAATTTTACCTGGTGGAATGTGCCAGGATGGCCAGCTAAGCATGTTACTTAACTATTAAAGTTTAGAAAAATTCAATGAAAAGAAAAAAGTAGTGCATTTGCTGGTTCAGAGAGCAGCAGGTGAGAGGAACATTACTCACAATGTCCTTTTGCATGTGATACATTTGTTGATCAAGGCTATTCCATCAGGGCTCTGGGAAAGTTCTTTATCTTCAGGACAGAACAATTTTCCATTTTTCAGCAATGCCTGAAATTCACTGCATGTTTCCTGAAAAAGTAGACTGCATTTACTAAAAGCTCATTTTAAAACTAGACTTCAGAACTTCTGTGTACAGTATTATTTAATGGCCAATATTCCCTTGTACATAAGCAATTCAGCCCATTGATAGGAATAACAAAAACAAAAATAATGACCCTGGGTCATCTGTTGGAGATTTCAAATTCACCTAATTAGCATTTATGTGGTACAATTAGTAAAGTGGAAAGAACAGAAAACATGGAAACAAAAGATCTGATTTTATATCCCCAAGTTCTTATTTATGACCTCAATAGCTTCAGTGATTTAATTTTTCAAAGGATCCATTATATAAACTAAAACAGGAGATATAAATACATGCATTTAATAAGAATATTAAATGTTGTAAGTATGTGAAGTAGATATTCAATCAGTAGATATTACTGTTTCATTATTATTAGGGTAGTGGTGTGGTCATTATTACCATTATTGGAATATATGAAATGGTACATTAAATATCCAGCACACTGTACCAACCAGCACTTCTGTGAAATATCAGCTCCTAGAAATCTTAACAGCTGGTAAGTGAAAAAGACCATATATGTTTAGAAAACAAATTTTCTCCATCAATTCATTTCCTGGAAAAAAATATACACATTGCTTGATGTATCATTTCACTTATGAGCACAGGTAGACCTACTGTAAAGCTAAGGAAGCTGAAGTTTCAGGGTCTTCACTATCACTTCTTTTCCCAAAACCTTGGGAGAGCCTCCCCATTTTGTGTTTTCAAATGTTTCTTCTTTTCTTAAAAGTACCTACACAGCCACTCCAACAACGAACACCATCAAAGTCACCAACACTGTCACTACCAATAAAATGAAAGCTGGTGACTCTACAGAAGTAATGTGCTATGTCTCAAAACCTGTCTCAGTCTCTCTCTCTCTCTCTCTCTCTCTCTCTCTCTCTCTCTCTCTCTCTCTCTCTCTTTCTATGTGACAAGGTCACTAGTACTACTATTTTATATACTGTGCAACATTCTGTGCTATACTTAGTTTGGACTTTCTCTTGAAGTGCCAGTGATTATGCTGTACCAAGTTTGAGGGGGGGAGTGGAAACCATATTGAATATTAGAATTGATGAGAGAAAGGGAAATACAATAACCTTTCAAAGTGGAAGTCCTTTATTCATTTGATACATTTTATGGAAGATCTTCTATATACATTATACTTTTCTAATTTAAAATCAATGATACATTTATGATACGCAGTAAAGTGCTGATTTAAAAGGTTATATAGTCCCTATTAGTTTGTAAAATTCACTAGACCTTTAGATCCAGACTTTAGATCCAGTTTTGTTCTGTTCTGTTTTTGACAAAAGAAATCCTGCTTTAAGTAGTTTTCATTAGAAAATAAAACCTTTCCTCCAGTTTCTACAAATATATCATCTTCCAAAGGATTGATTACAGTGTATTGCACCTCTTGTAGCTTTATAATAATGTACTCAATCAATAATCATGTATTGTGAGATCCCTTTATTTTACAAGGTGCCACAAGACACAGCAGTGAATTAAACAGACTTATCCTTGAATGAACAGTGTTTTTATCTCAAATAGAGAATGTTACATCTAATCAAGCCTCTAAAGCATGACAGAAAATTGGTAAAACTTACAGTGATTAAATAATAAAAAAGAGTAAATAATATCAGAGACCAGCCTGGGAAATTTTGCTAAGGATGACCTGTTAAAGTATTTCTCAAATTACTATCACCACTCAGTAATTCTGTCTGAGTAGCACAGTAGTAATTTCTGGCAACAGATTAACAACTGAGTATCTTGCAATCTATGTATTGTCTCTAATTCTATAGTATTTTATTCTAACTTTGAAAACTAGTGCCCAGTTTACCAGATACAAGAGAATCCATAAAGTCCTACAAATCTTATATTGGAATGAGAGGAGAGTCTGGGCCTTCAAGGTAGAAATAGATCTCTTGTGAGGTCAATCTTAGAGAAAATATAAAGATCCATGATCGTATTGGAATGAAGCTCTAAGTAATTTTCAATGTCTAATTTTAAAAAAATAATTCCATCAAGATAACTTCTGAATTGAATTTCTACAAAGTCACAGTTAAAGGAGAGCTTAATGCCTAAACAGATCTACTTTTTTACAAATGGACAGTGAGTATAAGTTAAAATTTTGATCACAGTGTTTAGTTTAGATGAGGCTCCATACTATTTTCTGAGTTATGAAATTTTTCAGGGTATTCTTTCACACAGAAGGAAAAGCTGTACAAATTGAAAGCGTAAGTTATGTTTTCCTCTGGGGAGAACAGACTGTGCTCACAATTACTATAATAGGGAGGGTTGAAGCAGGAGGAAATCCACACCAACAAGCCATCTTGACATCTGGAAGTGGAGTAGAACTCCGAGCTCTCAGCGTGTTTTTATTCTTATTTGTTGTTGTTCTTACTTTCTGCACATCACAGGAAAACTGGATCCTGACTGAGCCCAGTGCCATTTGCCTCCCTGGCTGTGGTATAATTGTTATCTTCCCTTCTCCACCACAGACCTCATCTTCAAATCCTCCAGACCTGGCATCGCTCCAACTCAATGTAAGAGCACTAGCAAGTTTGCTTTGCCTTCATAAGAGCCCTTCTATGGTAACAGATTGAAGCATATGCTTAAGAACTTTACAAGTTGCTATAGCATTTTTCTACGCTGGTCTGGCTCATGTTTATTATATTTAACATGTTTTTGAGATGCTAGAAATAATTCAAGGGCCTGAATTTAGAAAATAACAAAAATCCAGCACCATCAAAAGTTTTTTTTTTTTTGGTGGCTCAATATCTAAAGAATATGATTAGAAAAATATCCAGAAAAATCCTTTCTTCTTTGTGATCTTGCCTTTTATACCAAAGAGGTGGCCGAGCCAATATTGTTAAATATTTTTCAATGAAATTAGCTTAAAGACATGAAAAAATAGGAAATGAAAATGCTTCAGTCAGAACTCAGAACACTGCAACATAAAATGATTCTTTTATGCTCAGTGAGATTTGAACAGCATCCTCTTTTTTTCTGTAGTGTAAGAGATCTAAATAAACATACTCTCTGGTTCCTCTAAATCCAGGCTTATTTTCTATTTTACCGTACCTGGGGACCCCTCTTTAATAAGCCAACTTTGATGCAGTAGTAGAGACTATGACAAAATTCCAGAGAACATTTCTGTAAGAAGTTTTCTTCTTATAAAATAACAATAAAATATATCAAGGAAGTATTTTAAACATAGTTCAAAGAATTTTCATGTTGAGTTAATGACACCACTTATTATTTAACTATTCACCGTCTTTGAGTGATACAATCAAAGTTGTTATGAGCATAACACTATTATAAATGATAAATTAATAGCATGCATAACAGTGTGGGGAGGGAAAAATGGACCTTTTTACTTTTCTTTCAACTAGGAAATTTTAATTTGTATTAAAAATAATTGGTTTATTTCTCAAAGGAAAGATCTCCAGCATCAGGGCCTCTTCCATTGCAGGTGCTTCTCCCTGGCCTGCTACAAGTTGCAAAGGTCTTTGCATGCAATCCCACACCACCTTCAGATCCTTCTTGTCACCCTGTCTCCAGGGAAGATTGGCCTGACTGTTCCAGTGAGAACAGATGCCACCTTCACTCCCTGGAATTTCTCCTGAATCCTCCTTTCTTTTTCTGTTAACACTAGTCTGTACTTAAAGTACTATAGATTTGACTAATTTATAATTTTACTTGTCTCTTGTCCACTACTAAAATGTAAATTGTAGAAGGACATGATTTTCATCTAGTTTATTCATGATAGAATATCCTCAGAATTTCATACATGGTCTTATACATAACAGGATCTCAATAGATATTTACTGGATGAAATCTCTACACTGGTTATATATACTAGATACAGAAAACCCCTTTTGGTGTTATAATTGCCAGAAAACATTTTAACTTCCTCTATGGCATATTGTGGTTTTGTTCAGTTGCTAAAAGGAACAAGAGTGGGTGTTTTGGTTGATTTATTTTGTGTATATACAATTTAAAGCACTCCTTTAGCATGATAGAGCACCTCTTTCAGACATCTGTCACCACTAATATGTTGACTGTGAGAGAGACAGAGACAGAGACAGAGGCAGAGATACAGAGAGAGACAAAGAGAGGAAGAGACAGAAACACAGACAGACAGACCACACACACACACACACACACACACACACACACACACACACAGAGGGGCAGAGAAATTCATGGCTTTTTCATAAAAGTTTGTTTCTGTGTTTTTAACAACAGCCCTAAGTGCACTATGTTTGCATTATCATGTCTGCATTATTAACAGGAAGGTATTGACCACAAACCATTTTCTTTAGACATCTTGGAATGAATTCAATGACAAAAAGCAGGACTGACCTGATTTGCATCCTCACTGGAAGCATCTGGGACAAAAATGCAAAAACCAAAGTTAAGGGACGGTAAAATATTCAGTAAAAAGTCAAACAAATCACTCAATGCAGTGTTTGTGTGGCTCTAATGGCCATATACGGTAAAGCATGAACTGTTTTTGAGGCTATTTAGATTTACCATGGCAACTGATATGAACGCACTGTACAAGGAGATTAGTATACATACTCACGTACCTCCAATCTCTCAGAAATGTGCAATTACTTTAGCAAACCATACTCCTGTGTTTTCTGACACCCACAGAATATCTAACTGACAAAAAAACCTTTTAAAAATATGGCAGTCTCCCTTTAAAAATTACAGCATAATACACATATGAAATATCTCATACCAATTTTAATGTAATTTAAAATTATAACATATCATGAAGTTTATATCACATATACACAAAAATTCCACTTTCTGAACTCCATCAAATCTATCTTCTTATTGTGGGTACAAATATTACAGATAGAGCAAAGGTTTAGATTAATAAAAATCATAGGCTATTGCAGTCTTTCATTCCTTGCTTTCTTGTATTTATACTCATTTTTGGAAAATGGGCATCATTTTTATATAATCATCTTCCTGACTTTATCACTAAGGTTTTCTTTTTTAAAATGTAACGATTTGCAAATAGATAAATCTAGGCAACCTGGTTTTCCTTTATATCAAATAGTAAATTTAAAACTTACCTTCTAGCTCCCACAAAGTTCCTTACCCTTTAGAAGCAATACTCTAACTCCATTAACAATTTGAAAACATAAAAATAAGTTAGAAGGCACTACTTCTTGTTTTAAAACAAAACCAGGTGGTTTTAGGCTTTTTTAAAAAAACATTTTACTTATACATATAATATTAAATATATTATTTGCATATGTTTTAAATTTCTAACATAGTTTTATATATATAATACATATATATGGTATGAGTTAATACACTTGATGAGAGGAACATGCAAAGGCATGTACCACTTTTACAGAACAAATATAGAATTAATAGAAGGATTTTTCATGGATAAAATTTTGCCTTTTCTAGATAATAATGTCATTGTAAGTCCCATATATAAATATTCAAAATTCTATGAGTGGGAAAGATTTTATATAGAGAAAATATATATATTTCTTTCTTTCGCCGAGTGTAGGGGGAGACAGGTCCCTTCCTCGGAGCTTTGAGATGTGTGGGAAGAGGTTAAATTGCATGCAAATTGCTCACCTCGTATAAGGCAAAGAGCCAACGTCAGAAGCACAGGCACAGTGACTGTCTTCATGGCGAAGATGATGTAAGTTGGCTACAGGTCTGCTCTGTGCATTGCTCAGCTGGTGCTCTAAGACTGAACTCAGGAAACACAGCTCACTTTTATACATACTGGCAATACTGGTGACACACACACACACAGAACCAGTTGTTCAGGCTTCTGCTAGACTTTAGGTACCACACCAGTTTATCTTTTATCCTTTAGGATCATGTCAGAGTGGCAGATTTGAGCAGATAATGTTCATTTGAAAAGTAGTAATGTGTTTTCATGATGTTCCTGGCCCCTGCTGAAGGCAAAAAGCTGAGTCCAAAGACCCTACTCAAAGTCACACTCTTCATAATCCTATATGACAGCTGAGATCTTCAGCAGCACCAGATGTACTACTTCACAGATGAACTTGTTTCTATTTGGAATCCCTTCCTAAGTGTGGGGGAGGAGGAAAGAAGACAGATTGGCTGTTCTACTAGCCAGGTAAAGATGTAAAGAGTTCCATAGCTAGAGAAAGCACCTTGTACTACAAGAACCAAGGGCTCCTATTGGTTCCATCTGTAAAGATTCTGAACTATTTCAATTGACTGTCATGGCTCAGGTGTACATTGGAGAAGAATGACCCTAACAAAGAAGAGCAGAACTCTAAGACTGAATGCTTGTGGAAACAAACTTAGAGAAAGATTCATCGCTTTCCCAAGAGCACATAGTTAAGGCAGGAGAAGCAGAGACTCACTCACAAAAGCAGAAACAGGTTCACCATTCTTTGCACTGCACGCTGCTTCCACTCATAGCAGAGATAGAAATTCTATGAACACAAAGCTTGTATATAATCACTTCGGAAAATTCTCAATCTGAGGGGTATTTTATGTCTGGAAGCCTAATGTTATGTCCCAACCAAACACCATATTCATAAACATTGGAGAATCAAGGTTTAACTTTCCAGAGCCCATAACTATCTAAATTACTGTTTGAAAAACATGTTGTAATTAATTTTCCCTGTTAAATTTATGATCATATAATCATATTATTTAGTCTCCCAAAAGGAAAGAGAAAATGTTACTAACCATTACAGACATATAGATGAAAGATTTTTTGAGAGAAAACTTCTTACTTCCTTCTTCCAACCTAAAAGTAATATCTTTTGTCTACCAGTTTAACTTACTCTATAGGCTTAACTCTGTCACCTGAGGAACATTCAAAAGTAACTGAAGAGAAAACCAAATGATCTGATTACAGGAATCTCAGTCTTCAAACCACAGGAGGAAAGTTCTGGGTGTGTGTGATCAAAGATTTTTTCTAATTGTTACAGGAATCTTATCAAGACTGGCCAGCTTGAAAATGTGCCAATATCCCAAGAACCACTAAACTAGGAATAGTATGTTCTTTCTTTTGTTCTCCCTCCACGAAATAATTTAATTCCTATAAAAGTAGAATCATTGGTTTTACTGTCTGCACTTCCATAATAGCCTTGCTACTTTTCAGTGGTTCAGTACAAGTAGTGACCATAGAGAGCAAGTTTAGACTGCATTACTGTTGAAAGTTAGAAAAATCAAAGTCTACCATAGGTTAACAGAAAGACAATGGGACAGGGAGTTAGAAAGTCTGTTTCCATTTTTGTCTATGCAACCACAGAGCATAATGAAAAGGAACCCATTATAATGATACGATTCTATTAGATGATTTCCAAGATTCCAGGAAAAATCAACATCTCTTGCTCATGGGTCTCAATAACAAATTTAAATTGACTCAGCAGAGAATCACTCCCTCAATACAATTCACATAAAATGAAAACAAAAGGATGCCTATGTTCTTTTTATTTTCATAATTGCAACCATTGATTCTTTCTCTATAAATTCCTCTTCTAAATATTGACATGCCAGTACTAAGTTGTGAGACCATAAGAAATGTGTCTCAACCATATCCTCTGTGTTTGGTGGTAGGAAAGTTTAATGGCTTATAATAAAATTAATGACTGTGTGACTCACTTTCATGAGCCCAAATATAGCCCAAATGAATATTATTCCCAGGAATTTACACAATTAAAGCTAGCAGTAAGCAGTATCAATACACATTACAAAAGGGAACATGTGACTTGGTTAGTTTACACAATTAAAGCTAGCAATAAAAAGTATCAATACACATTACAAAAGGAAACATGTACCATGGTTAGTTTACATAATTAATAGAAGCTAGCAATAAAAAGTATCAATACACATTGCAAAAGGAAGCAAGTATTCCAAGGAGTGGAAGTGGTGTTAGGGAGGAACAAAAGTAGCGATGATGAATACCTCTTTGAAGAATCTCTGCTATGAGGGAATGTGGAAGGAATTGGTTTCCTTCTTAATGGCAAGGTGCTTCTAACTTACAGCACCTCCTGGAAGAGCAGAAGAGGTTAGGCACTGGTAACCTCTTCCAAGAGGAGAAGGTGGCCACAAGATCATCCAGTGAGCACCCCCAGTGTTGGAAGCGCCCATCAACAGCTCCTGTCATTAGGGCTTTTCTCCAGTTCATTTCAGGAATGTTGAAATCCAGAGGGTGATTCATCACATTTTCTGTCAATCACTCTTTATTTCTGAAAACCAACATAGTAAGTTCACATAAACAAGACTGAAGTTTTGAAGAATAGAGACTTATATCAGATTTATCACAGTACTTTTCTCAACTCAAATTTCCACTCAGGTTTTCTGCTTTTTCAGTTATTCGTAAAACATGCAGAAGCTCCTTTTCTCTCATTAGAAAGGAGTTAGATTCTAAAAATGGTGAGCCTTATGATCCTACACATTTATCAAGTACTTCATAATCTGAATTTACCTGAGGGATGTCCACACAAGGTAAGAAAGTATAAAGTGTACAAAGTAAATGAGATGTTTTCAAGCCACCATTGTTACTAAAAGCAAAGGTTATTTTCAAACTCTAATTTTGTTTTGCTACACAAAGAGATCCTTGCTGATGATAATCTTCAGTAAACTACAATTCCCTATAATTATGTCAACTTCCACAGCTTTAAAAACAATCTTCTCTTGGTTAGTTCTTTTGATTTGTTTGTGCAGTGTTATGAAGTAGCAAAAGCGGTTATAATTATCCTCTCCTCATGGATCAGAAAGGGTACCATTAAAAAAGCCTAGTGTAGGAACTAGTTTGGATGGCCATCCTAGCCTTGATGCTTTTTTACTTTTTACACTCTTAACCTCTCTGAATCCCTGTGGATTCCTCAAAGACTTTTACACAGTTCACAGAAGCCAGACACTGCACTATTTTAAGCTTGGTATAACACTTAACCACTAATGAAATTCTTTTGTCTAATCTCCAGTTTTCCCTCTCAATCTCTCTCTCTCTCTCTCTCTCTCTCTGTCTCTCTGTCTCTCTCTCTCTGTGTATGTGTTTGTGTGTGTGTATGTGTATGTGTATGTGTCTCTCACACACACACCACATACTCCTAATCATGTGGGCAGAAGGAGGTATGTTGTGACCATGACTGAAAAGTGTAGTCTTTAACTTATGAAGTTCAACCTGTAATTTTTCAGCTTTACAATGATGCAAAAGCATACCCATACAACCGTTCTGTTTTTCACTTTTATTGAATAGTCGATAAATTTCAATAAATTATAAAACAGGCTTGATTTAGATGAGTTTTGCCCTCAGTAGGCTAAGAAGTTTTAGGCACATTTAAAGTAGGCTGGGATGCCAGGCACGGTGATGCACACCTTTAATCCCAGTGCACTGGGAAGCTGGGGCAGAAGGATTTCAGATTGGAGCATAGCCTGAAAATTTAGCTAAAAATTTAAAAAGACCATGTCTCAAAATTTAAAAAAATAATTAAGAGGCTTGAGGTGTAGCTCAATGCAAAATTCCTGGGTTCAATCCTTCATACAAAAAACTAAAAGGCTAGACTACACTTTCATGTGTTAAGTATATTAACACTAGGTTAAATGTATTCAATATATTTTGAACTTTAGATATTTTCAGCTTATGACTGGTTTATATGGAGGTAATTCAATCACAAGTTAAGGAGAATCTCTATATCCTCATAGATTTTAGAAGATATTCCCTTTAGAAAAACACATTGACAACAGCTTTTACTGACCTTATTGCAAAGTGCTTTATTTATAAGTATACTTCTCCATGAGGATTTCTTTACATTTGTCTGGAAAGATTAAGAAAACTTGCAGATAAGCATCTTATTTTATCTAAAAATAGAATGGGATGGGCATTGTTTATTTACTGAGAACACAGACTCTCCTATTTATAGTTATAATTATAGCTTTTATTAGATTAAGATAAAAAGCAGAAACATTTCAATGTCTAATTTTAACTGTATTGATTATTAAATATGAAGTTATAGTGTTTAGCTCTTAAATAGAATATCTATCTTTTCTCTACAGTCAGTGTTATTTGAACCCTTGTTCCACAGCCACATACCACCCATTTTCAGAAAATTTAGTACATTTTAAAGTCTCCTAAGATGATCTTCAATATCAAAAAACAGAGGTCTGTGGAATGATATCCTTCAAAAAATAGCCATTATAGATTATGTCTGAAGGAGATAAATATACACTGAATTTTTGCAAAAGAACATTAGATTTTTATATGTATGATGTACATATGCATATAGTAAGCAAGAGCAAAATTGCTATTGTTACTTATAAACAATATCTAAAAAGATAATTTCTTATTAGATGGTACATATTTATAATTCTTGCAGGGAGGAGGCTGAGGCAGAGGGATTTTTAAGTTTGAGGCCAGCATGGGCTATAAGGAGACCGTCTCAAAAAGAATCAGACAAAACAAGGTGTCTTTCTCTCCAATCTCATGAAAGAATTGTCAAAGAGATACAAAGAGATGTAATATTTGTTAGGATTTATTATGTACTCAGTGACATGTACAAAAATAAATAACAGAGTAAATATTCTCATTTTTTCCTTACAAGTAAAGAATTTCTAACTCAGAATATGACTATAATTGGAGATGGTGTTTTTTAAGTGGTCATTTAAAATGAGGCTGTTAGGGTCAACTTAATCCAAGCTGATGGGTGCCCTTATAAAAGGAAATTTCGGCACACTGAGTGACACTAGGGATGCACCTTGTTATGGTCTAGCCCTACAAGATCCCCCAAATTTTCCTCGTCACACATGGGGCTTCTGGATGGTGACTGGAGCATGGAGGTGCTACAGTCATCAGTGGATTAGCACATGTGATAAGTTCATAGCTGACTGTACTGTTCAAAGGTGGGGTCTGCGTAGAAAAAGGGGGTCACTCAGTGCTTGACATCAAAGGGTGTATGTGATTAGTGGCCTCTCCCTTCTGTTTTTGCTTTCTTGCTGTCATGATATGAGTAACTTTCCCCACCAGGCCCTTCCACCATGCTGTTTCTGTATTGATACGTCTAACCATGGACTGAGCCCAAGAAAACTGTAGGCCAAAATAAAGCCCTCTTCCTTTAAACTGTGTGTGTGAGATGTGACTAATACATGCACACACAGAGGAGAGACCACATGAGAATACAGAGAAGGCTGCTTTGCAAGCCGAAGAGAGAGGCTTTGAAGGAAAGCAAGCCTGTGAACACTTTGACTTTGGAGTACTGGGCTCCACAACTGTAAGAACATGAATTTCCATGGTTTAAATTTCCCAATCTTGGTATTTTGTAGGGGAGGCTTCGCAAATAATGTATTTACCATATGGATTGTGGAGCCCAGCTGAGAAGAGGGATCAAAGGATCCTGACTAAAACTTATTCTAGGAGAGAATCTCTGTTGTTAAGTAAAAAACAAAGTGATATTAAACTTTCACAATAGAGCTTACATCTTGCTTTTGTTTTTTCTTGATTTTTTTTTTTGTGCAGATCTTATCTTTTCTACTCCAATGATCCTTGTGTTTTGATGTCCTCTGGCAATACGTCTAACAGAGCTGGACAGGTCCCAGACTTCCCCTGCTTTAACCCAAACACCATCATCTACTCACAAATTTTCTTTGATATTCTTTCTGACATCTAAAGCCTTTATAGGCTGTTTCTGTCCCTTTATGTAATGGCTTTTTTTTCCCCACTTGGCTAGTCTTATAGGACTCAACATAGATTTATATTCTCAAGGACTCTTTCCTTGAACTCTCAGAGAACATCCCTCTTCTGGACTCCTACAAAACATAGTACGTCTTTCCCAGCAGTGCCCTGTGACAGTTTTGTAACTGCCAGTTGACTTTTCTATCTGTGTATCTAGATAAATAATATTTTAAGACATAATGACTGATTAAGTGCAAAATAATATTTGGAAATTGAATTCATTTTGATAATTTATAACAAACTTCTACAATTATTGCCTTATTTATCTTAATTGCTGTAAGAAAAAAGACTGAAGTAAAAGAAAAATAACAAAGCACATAGGCTTATTGACTCAGGTTAGGTCATAGAAGTGTAAGTGATCAGGCTGAGGCTCAGATCTAGGGCTTAAGACTTAAAAATTAATCGTGCGGTAAGTTGAATAGCACTGACCAATGTGTCAATGATGTCCTTGATTTACTCAGTCAGAAAAAATAAGAAGGAAATGAGTAATAAGAATGAAATAAGGGAGATCTCAACCAGGAAATGAATTAGTAAAATTTAAATCTTAAAATGTTAGAGATATAGGCCTAAATTTATGGAAGGCTTGTGCTATTTAGATGGTTTTCATAATATTATTCATAAGAATACTTTCAATATTTACTAAGTACTTATATTTGCCTGGCATTATGTTAGATCCCAATGTTAAATTTATGAAAAAATAAAATAAAATCTCTGATATCTAAGAGATTATAGTCCAGGGAAAGGTCAGGGAGTAAGCAGACCCTTCTATAACTTTATAGACATTTTACTTGCTGACCCAGTAAGTTACCTTCATTTCAACCATGTAAGCAGTCAGAGAGGTAATCCATGTGAACCAGCATGTATGCATACAGTAAGCAAGGTGTGAGGCATGTAAAAAATTAGTTTGGATGCTTTAAAAGGTCTGAGGAAATAGCTGATGAGAATGAAACATCCTTTAAATAATTATGAGCCAAAGACTTACTGTACACAAATAATTTATTCTGTCCAACATGTTGAGTTTTTCCACTATTTCATCTCATATATGCAGTGTTTAACCCACTAGTTAGTTATGCAGCTTTACCTGGAGGGAAAAGTTTGAAATTATATTTGAATATGAAAATTGTTTTGTACTTAATGGATAATTTATTTGAAGTGATGTCTCTCAAATGATATTAGTACTTTTCATTATTAAATACCGGTGGAAAACTTCTTGATTTAAGCAGATTTTCTAGAAAGTAGTTGAAATACTTCTGACCAATAAACTATATGCAGTAGAGGGCATTTCCCAAACACGTGAACAGAGTTGGAGAATGTATCAACTAGCTTTAGTCAATAAAAAAAAGAGAGAATTTTTATCTTCTTCTTCTAGATAGAAAATACTGGTTATGGTACAAGGGAAGGTATTTAAAAAGTGAATGGGAAATTATTTAAGTATTTCTTACAGTTACCAGTGTTATAATAATCAATTAGTATTTAGGTATTTCACTATACAGCAATATATTTATAGAATAGTTTATTGAATAATATTAATATATAAGTGATATAGAAATGCTGTGGGCCGGGCGTGGTGGTGCACCTCTGTAATTCCAGCACTCAGGAGGCTGAGGCAGAAGGATCGTTGCAAGTTTGAGACCAGCCTGAGCTACAAAGTGAGTTCAAGGCCAGTCTGAACTGCATAGTGAGACCCTGTCTCAAAAAAAAAAAAAAAAAAAAAAAAGAAAAAAGAAAAAAAAAAAAAAAAAAAAAAAAAAAAAGAGGTGGGGGTATAGCTTACTGGCAGAGCGAGCACCAAGCCTTGGGTTCAATCCCTAGTTAAAAAAGAAAAAAAAGGATATACAAATGTTTACCATTTAATACAGAACCTTCAACTCATGATGAGATTGTTTCAGTAAATCTAGCAAATTGCAAATATCAGATTTCAAAAATGCATTTACTACACCTGACCTACTGAACATCTTAGCTTAGCAACACAGTATAGTTTAAAGCATTAGGTTTTTTCCTCAGAGTCACATGATTAGAAACTATGGCTTTCTGTTGTTGTCCAGAAAAATAAAAGTATTTTAATATATATCACTCTCCTAAGTAAAGATCAAATTTCTAAATCCAAAGTTTAGCTTCTATTGAATGAGAATTGTTTATATACTGTTATAGTTGAAAATTAAACCATTGCAAATTGGGGACTCTTTGTGTATATGATTCTCACAATAATTAAGCACAGAATATTTTGTTTCCACTTCAAGGTTAAGAAGATTAAAGAACAGGATGCCTAAGTTATTTGTGTCAAATTTACCAGGCATAATTGCAAGAGCTGACATAGGAACTCAGGCTTCCTAACACTTAGTCTGATATATTTTTTCCTACTCCTTCATCTTCAACAAAATTATGATCATACATTCAGAAATATTAGGATAGGAAAGAAAGAGGAAATATGGAGAGTACAAAAGAGTGTGCTACATTCAGAAATATATAAAGAAAATGGAAGAATACAAAATGTATTGAAAGAGAAATTTAAACCAGCATTGGTGATAAAAGTACATAAAAACATGTAACACATTACAGACTATAGTATTTTTTCCTATGTATATTCTTTTGGCATCATGATCATCCTGATGGCCAGATTAAGCATGTATCATTGTTACCATTCCTTACTTACTTGAATTTAGAGCAATATAAGAATATTCCCAAAAATTGAAAATAGTGAAATTTGTAATGAGACAAAAGTCTAATGAATAAAAATGATTTTTCTTATGCCCTTCAACTTTTCCACCAGTGTGAAAGTTGCTTGAGGATATAGCTTTTATAATTTCATTAGGAAGTAAACGATGACAAGGTTTAGAGAAGAGATAAAATTTAAACACCTCCTAAATAGATGTTAGTGTGTGAGATATGGGATACACCAATTTGTTTTTAAGTGATGAATAAGATTTCTGTCTATGACTAAGATGAAATAACAAGGAAACTATTTATTCTCTTGCATCAAACAGTTTTCAAGAAGAGAAAGCATTGTTTTCTCATGTTGAATATCACATCATGAAGAACAGTGATTCTTGGGAGAGAGAAAGCAAAGCAAGTTTCTCCTCGCCTGTCAGGTTCCTGACTGTAGAGTTTCCAGACTACAGCACGGACAGGAGAA